AGAACATGGTTTGCCAACCTTAAAGTGCTTATTACTGTTGTCCTGTGTGTAAGAACAGAAATATGTAGAAGGAAGAGAGTGGTGTAGGCAGAGATGGAAGGAGAAAATAACAAGGCTGTGGAGGGAGGGAAGAGGGTTGATAAATTTCAAAATCACATCTTGTTTACATAGAAAGTGAGCATTCAATGGAATAATCACTTGATACTACCACCCTTTGGTTAGTCCATGCATGTTTCTCATTTAAAATTTGAATTTTACTCAAATACTGAAATGGACCTGTGAGCTCATTGGTGTTGGTATTAACTCCGATGATGCAGATTGCAACTCATCTGTATCATAACCACCCTGTGCAACTCATGTGAAGGTTCTACCATTTTTGTGACAACGGTTCCAGCTGACATACTAGGTGCTTTTTATGAGTTCTCTTCATATTTCTAGGGTAACAACAATCATACAGATTATCCATGAGTTAGCTCTTACTCTCTGTGTGACCAGCCCTTTTTTTTTTTTTAAAATCATGCATTTCTTTGATGACTTCCTTGCCACATTGTTTCTTGTACATATATTCTTAGGTGTGGCAATCTGCTCATTCCCCCATGCACTTCACCACTACCTTTTGAGTGATCTTCAACTTAAATTCTTTGGAGATTAGTGTTCTAGTCATGGTCAGTGAATTCATCACTCAAGGAACAGCAAATTGGTGCCTCTCCATATTTAAATATTTAACTAGGGTGGCTCTCAGACAGCAAATAATCTTTTGTGGGATTGTACTCAAAGCTTTTTAGCATGCTAGAACCTCTTACAACTTATACTTTGTAGAGGTAGTCTTTGAGAGTATCAGGTCACTCTCATGACATGATGAAGCATGGGAGTAATACTTTGCAAACTTTATTTTTGAAGTAATTTTTTTTCATGTGGAATTCCAAAGCCATTGCATGTTTGCAAATAAATAAGTTTTTAGAGATTTAATTTGTAACATTGGTAAGTTTAATAGTTATCGCCTGAAAATTTCCTTGATGATGAAAAGCTGTCTAATGGTCTTGTCTCTGTTCTGTGATGCCTCATTTCACAGTGCTTGAAGACAGCATTTGGAATCAGCATTCTATAAAGGAACTGTGGGCAGCTAGGTGGCACAATAGGTAGGCATTAGGCTTGGAATCAGTCTTCGTGAGTTCAAACTGACCTCAGAGACATAGTAGCTATGTGACCCTGGACAAATCATTAAACCTTATTTGCCTCAGTTCCTCATCTGTAAAATGAGCTAGGGAACGACGTGGCAAACTACTCCAGTATCTTTGCTGTCACATGGAGTCAGATATAATTGAAAAATATTGGGCTCAGTGTTTTGTCTTATTTTTTTTCTTTCTAATTTCCAACCAAATTTTGATATAGTTAGGGTCCTCATGGAGATACTACATAGAGAGGATTTAAAAAAAAAAAGGAAGTAAATATTCATTTAGAAATGATTTCATAAATTTCAAATTGCTTTTTAATAAAGTTTCTAAAATTGCTCTGAGTAGGATTAACGACAGCAATCTACCTGGGGGTAATTATTTCCTGTCCAAGAGTCAGTGAAATATCACCTTAAGGAGAATGTGCTTTGGACCAAATGTGCAATTAAACCCAAACCTAGATGAAATGGAAGACCCATGGTTCTTCACTGACAATTGAATAAGTAGATGAGAGAATTAAATTGGAGCTCAGAAATAATTCTTTCATATATTTAAAAAAAAAATTTTTTTTTTGGGCAAGGCAATTGGGGTTAAGTGACTTGCGCAGGGTCACACAGCTAGTAAGTGTCGAGTGTTTGGTCTGAGGCTGGATTTGAGCTCGGGTCCTTCTGACTTCAGGGCCGGTGCTCTATCCACTGTGCCACCTTGCTGCCCCAAAAATATTTTTTCTTAAAGTGTTTCCTTAACATCAAAGTATTTAGAATATAGGATTAGAGTTGAAAAAGTTCCCTTTAAAAAATCACCTGGTTCCACATTGTCCTCTTACAGATGAAGAAATTGAGACCCAAAAAAGGGAAGGGATTTGTTCAAAGTTACACTGGTCAGTTGAATGTGGCAAAGTTGATTCCAACCCTGGTCTTGATTCCAAATCCCTGCTTTTTTTTTTTTAATGACACCATGGCACCTCTTTTAGTCTTATTGAATTTGGGAATCTGTTCTTCATTTCCCTTCTAGAATGTTTAGATAGTAGAAAAAAAAAGAATAGAAACCTGATTTTGTTGCCATCAAAGGAGATCATCACGACACAGGGCATGTTTGTTTGCCAGAAGTAAAAATATCTGTTGGTTCATTGTACTGCTTCTTGCTTACAGAATGATGTTTTTTATTTTGACCCTTTAAGTTTTAACTTGCCTGAGCCGTCAGGTTAAAGGAAAAATTGGTTGACTTCATTTTTTTTTATTTGCATTTTTTTTTCTCCATTTTGGAGACAGGGAGAGAGATGCTTCTTTGCCTGTGATTTCATTTGTATAGGAAACTTCTGGTACAGAAACTTCCTCCACAGAGACAGGATATGTATCAGCACTTGTTTTTCAACTCATTTTTTTATTGTTGATTAGAGCAGAAGTGTGAAACATATGAGTCTCATAATAGTACTTGTGAGTATGGCTGAAACGGGATTACAATGTAATTGGGAAATATTTAACAAAATAACTAAAAATACAATAAAACAGATAATATAACAATTTAAAAACTAAGTGAATATGCTGCCTAGAGGGATCCTTACCTATGGATTGGAGGCGCCATTTCCATTTGAATGTGACACCGCTAGCCTAGGGTACTGAAAAGTCAAGTGACTTGCACAGGAATGCATAGCAGTATGTATTAGACAGGCAGTATTGGAATCCTTGTCTTGATGCCTCTAAGGTTATGGGATCCCAGAGTTTTCTAACCTACAATAGAAGAAACTGAGGCAGAGCTCTGAGCCAGTGGCACTTTATTAAAGGGTCCATGGTCTGCTCTCGTGTAGTGGACTTCAGATCTTCCTCACAATCTGAGATGCCAGCTTCCTCCAGGGCCTTAGTTTTATGGTGCTTGATGCCCAGATAATACAGGTGGAGCAGATTAAAAATACAGAATCTTATTAGTGAATGGACCTTGCCCATGACTCTCCAGGAATGTCTACACAAAACATAGAATCCTGTTGGTTGACAGGCAGGCTAATGGAGAGACCTTGACAGACCCATCTTGACATTTCTGGAAGTCGTATCAAGCTGACTAGCACACCCATGGCCTGGTAGAAAGGCAGGCCACAGACTGGCAACCAGGGTCACTCATTGGCCAAGTGGTCATTGTTATCTCCCCATGTTAGGCAATAGAGGGGTGACAAGGGACAGAGAGGCAACAAAAATAGCTGGGGAACTTGCCATGTCATGGAGTTACCTCTGCCAAGCTGAGTTTGATCACTGTAACAAGGAAAAACAAGGGTGGAAGTCCTCTAGTTAGCTTCTTGTGATTAAGCAAGTGAACTTACAATCTGCAGTTCACAACTCTGAGGTTTAATATCAGAATTTATAATCATTACCCCTATGGAATCATATCAAACTGATTAGTACTGATTGGAATAAAATAGGGGTCCAGTTAATCATCTATCACAGTTTTTCAATACAGCCTCTTAGCTTAATGCTTATCATAAAAATGAGCTAAAACTACTAAAAACTGTAGTACATCAATTCACAAAAATAAGATTAATGCATACTTAGACTGGTTTAACAAAAATTCTTTTTTTTTTTCAGTAGATCTTATGGGTAAAATACAAGTTACTTGGTCTGGTATTTAAGATCAGACATAATTTGGCTTTAAGGGAGCTAGGTGGTGCAGTGGATAGAGTCCTGGGCTTAGAATCAGGAAGACTCCTCTTCCAGAGTTCAAATTCTGGTCTCAGACATTAGCTGAGTGACCCTGGGGAAGTTACCTTAACCATTTGCTTTACTTTCCTCTCATCTGTAAAATGGACTTGAAAAGAATGGCAAACCACTGCAATATCTATGCCAAGAAAATCCCAAAGTGAGTCACAAAGAGTTGAACATGACCGATTGAACAACAACAAATAATTTGACTTCAACTTTTTCCATTCTAATTTCACATTTCTTTTGTTCATATAGCGTGCATTTCCAGACAGGTTTCCTGTATACATTTCATTAGAATTCTTTGTCAGCTTTTTCCATATTTTTACCATATTTTAAAGTAGTATACTTATTTATATATATGTCTTATATCTCCCTGCCCCCTTCACACAACTCACTAAATCTCAGTAGATTATAAACTCTTAAAGGGCAAGTACTCTTATTTTCTTTCATCTTTATATCCCAAGTGTATATCAGAGGGCCTTACATACATAGGAGATGCTCAAAAAGTATGTGTTTAATGGACTTTAATCTGTAATATGTGAATGTTCTTATCCTTGTAATTTTTAGACTTGAAAAGGATAGCTTTTTTAGAATTAAAAAACCCAAATACATATTGAATGCTGATTGAAATTTCCAATAAAGCATGTTCAAGGAAGGAAGGAAGGAAGAAGTGAAGCAAGGAAAGAAGGAAGGGGGAAACATTTATTAAAACACCTACTATGTGTCAAGCATTGTGATGCTTTACAAATATTGTCTCATTGGATTTACAAACACTTTACAAATATTAAATATTATCTCACTTGATCCTCACAACAACCCTGGGAGGTAGGTCTATTATCATCCCTATTTTATAGCTGAGGAATCTTGAGGGTCACAGCGGTCAAGTGATCTGCCTAGGGTCACCCAGCTAATAAGTGTCTATCAGAGGCAGTGTTTGAACCAGGTCTTCATTACACTAAGGCCTAGCACTTTCTCTACTGTGCTAGTTTGTACAAATTATTGTTGATGGAATCAGGAAAGGTTTTGTGTTCAAACGTGCCTGAATTGTGATTTTTTTTTTTAACAGCTTCTGCTCAGTCATGGTGCTTATTAAGAAGTTATATGTGTCTTTTTTGTTTTGGTTTGTGTCTGTGCTTTTTAGAGTATTTTGAGGAGATGAAGGAATATGGACCAGTCTATACCTGGTGGTCAGCATCCGAAGAGGATCTGGTCGATTCCCTGAAAGGTGTAGCCAGCTGCATTGACAAGTGTTGTAAGGCCACTGAAAGACGAATAGTTGACCTTTCTGAGACACTGCTTCCAGTTGTACATGAATATGTTCTATATAGTGAAATATTAATGGTAAGTTTGCCTGAGTTTACTTCTTTATTTTCAACACTGAATGTAACATAGAAACAAAAAGTAATTACGGAAGAATAACCTGTATCTCCTAGGAGTTCTTAACCTGGAGTCCGTGACCATTTCTTTCTTTTTTTTTCTTTTTTAAAAAAGTTTTGACAACTAGATTTCAGTGCAATTGATTTCCTTTGTATTACTATGTATTCCATGCATTTAAAAACCATTATTTGTAGAAGGGGTCCCTAGGCTTCACCAGATGGCCAACGGTTTCCATGACACAAAAAAGATTAAGCAGTCCTTCCTCTCCAGGCAGAGACTCCTTTGGTATGTCACATATGCATTTTAAGGAACATTCCTTGGGTTTCACACACCAAAAAGCTACAGTGTTGTTTCTCAAATTAAACTAGGTCTGTTCTTCTGAGTTCCTATCCAGTCCCAATTTTTATCTGGGTGATACACAGAGCCTGAAACTTTTTTGAGGATAGAAAATAGATGCAGAAAATCAAGATTCTCAGTGTAGCCACTGTAGTTCCTAAGTATCTCTTTCATTTATTTCTTCATTTACTTGTGGATTCTGTGAAACACAACAGAAATGCTGTGCAAATAGCCCAATCACTCCGGTTCAGTTGAGCAGAAAAATTCTTACTTTGCTTATTGTACCTGTTCTGTGGACGCTTGAATAGTGAAAAGTTGTTTGGCTTGCAAACTAGGCTTCATATTATGGCATTCTAGAGCAGGATGGGGGGCAACTAGGTGGCACAGTGGATAGAGTGCTGGGCCTGGAGTCAGGAAGATCTGAATTCAAATATGGCCTCAGATACTCCCTATCTGGTACTACTAGTGACGCTGTCCAAGTCAGTTAACCCTGTTTGCCTCAATTTCCTCATCCGTAAAATGAGCTGGAGAAGGAAATAGTAAACAGCTCTAGTATCTCTGCCAAGAAAATCTCAAATGAGGTCATGAAGAGACAGAAACATTTGAAAAACAACAACAAGAGCAGGATGGAATTTTGATATTACTTAGGTTAGCAACTTCATTTTGCAGTTGGAAAAAAAATATAACACCCAGATTTATTTTTATATTTTATACTATTGCAAAATTATGGATGACAGAATCTAGAGTTGGAGAGCAGAACTCACTTAATTGAATCCCCTTTTTCATAGGTTAGAAAACTGAGGTATGGAGACATAATATGACCTACCTACCATCACTCAGTATTAGAGCCAGGCTTCCATCCCAAGTTATTTGATGTCAAATCCAAGGTTCTTTTTAAATATTACATATAAGAAAGATGTAGAGGAAGCGTAGCTTAGTGGATAGAGAGGCGGCCTCAGAGTTAGTAAGACCTGAGTTCAAGTTCTACCTTTCATGTATACCTGCTCTTTGATCCTGGGCAAATCATTCATCCTCTCAGGGCCTCAGAAAAATCTTTAAGGAAATAAGTCATGGAGAAGAAGCATATATCTGTTGATAGAGGGAATTCCTTATTACTTCTGGCTCCCTACACAGATGAAGTCACAGGTCTGATAAAAACAAAAATATACAAAGCCCTATGCTAGTATTGAAGATTCAACGATAAAACCAGTCACATACTGTCACTTAAAATACAGTAACAGGAATAAGAAATATTTTAATAACTAGAATACAAGTTAGTATATGGTTAAGTGCATAAGTGAATTCAGACAGACTGGTACAGGAAATTCAAGAAAGGCAATGTTACTCCAGCTGGGATGGTCATGGAAAGATGTGTTGTAATGGAATTCCTTTCATGACATGGTTGGGCTAGATGGTTACTGACATTCCTTCCAGCTCTCAGATTCTTCAATTATTGTGATTTCTGATCCATGGAAGAGATCTGCTCAACCAGTCGGTTAACAGACTGCTACATGGCACAGTGGATAGATCACCTCATTGGGAGTCGGGAAGACCTGAGTTGAGATCTTGCCTGAGACACTTACTAATTCTGTGACCCTAGATGAGTCACTTAACTGCTCTCAGTCTCGTTTCCTTATCTGAAAAATGAGAATAGTAATAACATCTATTTCAGGTTTGTTGTGATTATCAAATGAGATAATATTTTTTGCAAATCTTAAAGCTATATATAAATGTTAGCTATTCTTATTCCTGTTATACTTGATTAAGTGCCTACTGGCTCTGTACTGCTACAGGAGATTACAAATGTGTTCAAAGAAGAATGACAGAAGAGGGAAAAAGGGAAGATCAGTGTCATCAGGACCAGAGGAGGAGTAGGTATCAAGAAGTCAGAGGAAACACTAAGCAGTGAAAAATACTACAGATAAATCAAGGAGGATGAGGATCATGAAAAAGGCTATTGAATTTGGCAATTCATTGATAATTGGCGACTTTGGAATGAGCATTTTCCATAGAGTGGTAGAAGGGGAAGCCAGATTGAAAAGGGTTAAAGAGGAATCAAATAGTGGGGACGTGGAGAAAATTGGTGTCCACTATTCTTTTTAGATATTTGATGATGAAAGGGAGGAGACGAGTTGGGAGGGAGGGAGAAGGGGAAAGTAACATGGCTAAAGCAGTTTTTTTTTAATATGATTTTTGAAAATAGGGAAAATATGAGGATATTTGTTAGAGGAGAAGGACTTAGTCAAAGAGGGATAGATAATTTCGTATTATTATTTTATAGGTTTATTCACTTTTGATTTTGTTTGTGATATTGCAAAGCTTGGCATAAGCAATCCAGAAGTTAAATTTTCATAATGCTTAAATAGTTGACTTGATACCTAGTATCATTCCATTTTTGTTGGCTTGACTAGAACCACTATGACAATTTACCTTTTCAAATGGTCAAAAATGAACCACTTTTCCAGTGATTGGTGTTGATAAGATAAGAGAATTGCATTAGTCAGAAGTAGCTAATTAATACCTACAGCTGGCTCTGACTCTATTCTTCTGAATTCCTACTTTCTCTGCTCTAGCTACCTGATTCTTTGGAACTCAATTGCTCGTATCTGGCTATTGCCATCAGCCCCACCGAGTAAACCACTAGGGGCATATTCTTTCTCCTGTCTAACCTTACTAAGGTATGAGAAAAACTTTTCTTCTTAAGTAAGCCAAGATAATGGTGGATTATATTTTACAGAATATTTGCTAGGAGAAAACCAAGGAACTCTTATTCCTAAAAAATCAAAACAAAACAAAGACAAAAACCCCCCAAAAAAGCCCTGTCCACAAAAGTTTGCTGAAAATAGAGTTTACAAAATGAAGATATCCGATCTAAACTGATCTGAGGTTACTTGATCCTCGATTTCTCTAGGTTTATTCTCTCATGACTCATCATTCAGATATTTCCAAGGAAGAAATATAACTTTTCTCAAGGTTTTTAATTACTTTCTTCCTTAAAACTATAAATTCTGGCTAAGGGGTACATATTAATTGCTGGTGAATCAGGAATCATGGTTCTTTTTCCTTCCCTTTAGACGGCCCCTCCCAAAGGGATATCTGTTCACCTGTCCTCTACCAGTGGATAGTAATGGAATTTAATTAATACAGAATATAGCTCAGCCTCCAAGCCCCACCCATTTCTCTAAGGTGCTTTTTTAGTGACTCTTTACTAAGTTAGTCTCCACTTCACGGATAAGTCAAGATATCCCTGGTGATGTCATTGGTCCTCTTAGAAAAGAAAAGACAAAACAACAACAGTGTACAAACAAGCAATATATACCTGATAAAAAGGAATAATTAAGAATAAAAAAAATAATTAAGAAGGTACTAGAATTTAGTGGGGGTAGGAAAGTCTTCATGTAGAAGATAGGGTTTTTTGTCGTTAGCTGTATCCAATTCTTCATGACCCCATTTTGGGATTTTTCTTAGCAAAGATACTGGAGTGGTTTGCCATTTCCTTCTACAGATGAGGAAACTGAGGCAAACAGGTTTAAGTGACTTGCTTAGGGTCACAAAGCTATTAAGTGTCTAAGGCAGAATTTGGACTAAAGTCTTCCTGACTCCAGGCCAGGTGTTCTGTCCACTGTGCCACCTAGTTGGAGTTTTAGTTGTGACTTAAAAGGAAATCAGGGAAGCCAGAAGGCAGATGTGGAGGGAAAGCATTCACATTATTTGTACTGCTAGAGAAAACGCCTGGAGCCAAAAGATGTAATGGGGTCATTAAACATTTACTACTTGCCTACTTTGTATCAGGCTTGGTACTAAGCACTGAGAATACCAAGATACAAAAGGCTCTTCCCTGCCCTCAGGATGCTCACTGTCTAATGGGGGAGATAACAAATACACAAAAGCCAAGGTATTGTGTTCCCATCCTGTCTGAATCTTCTTGACCCCATTTAGGGTCTTCTAGGCAAAGATATTAAAGTGGTTTGCTATTTCCTTCCCCAGCTCATTTTCCAGATGAGGAAACTGAAGCAAACAGGGTTAAGTGACTTTTCTAGGGTCACATATCTAATAAGTGTCTGAGGCCAGATTGGCCTGGCATTCTACCCTCTGCTTCCTAACTGCTCTATACAGTATAAATAGGGAACAATTAACAGAGGAAAGACACTTAAATTAAGAACTGTTGGGAAGGCTTCTGGTAAAAGAAGGGATTTTAATTATAACTTAAAGGTAGCTAGAGAGGTAAGTAGTATGCTGTTCATGGAACAGCAAGGAGGCCAGTGTTACAGTTTTGAAGAGTAAGCAAGAGAGGATGTGAGAATCCCTGTGTAATAAGTGGTGACTGGGCCACTGTTTGAAGACCTGTAGGCAGCCCATTCCACTTATGAATGACTGTCATTGTTAGGAAGTATTTTTCCTGCTGTCACGCCTACGTTTTTCTCTTTGCCAAGTCCACCCATTACTCCTCTTTCGGCCCACTGTGGCCAGGCAGAACACAGAACATCCCTCTACCATGGGACTGCCCTTCACATACTTGAAGATAGTAGGGTAACTAGAAGAACAGAGCACATAATGCCCAACAGAAGTAAGAGGATGGTTGTTATATAGCATTTCCTTTTTCAGTTTCCAACCTGAAAATCTCCCTA